AAAAAATGGTCGAAGCATGATCATTTATGCAATGTATCTCATTGTGAATTTGAAATATGGTTATTATAGGTACTTTGTGGTGAAAAGTTGCAACCGGGAGAATCTGGAACTGTCTGTACAACAAGGAGTATGGGCAACTCAAAGAAGCAACGAGGCTAAACTTAATGAAGCTTTTGAGTCTGTTGAGAATGTCATTTTAATCTTTTCAATTAACAAGACCAGGCATTTTCAGGTCATTTTTCTGTCACGATATCTTTTGCTAATTTGTGGGGGACTCCATATGAAGATTCTAAACTTTGTTAACATTAGGTGGTTCTGTATAGGACAAAATGTTACCAATTTATTGCTCAGTGATTGATATTTCTTGTGGTTTATTAACAGGGTTGTGCAAAGATGACATCTAGAATTGGTGGCTCTGTTGGTGGAGGGAACTGGAAGCATGCTCATGGAACTGCACATTATGGAAGGAACTTTGCTCTGAAATGGTTAAAGGTCCTCACCACTAAGCATACTTGGTGATTTTTTATTTTTTATTTTATATCAAGGAACGTAATGCTCAAACATCTGCTTGCTGGGTGCTATTTATTTCATGCGGACATCTTCCCAGAGAGATTATATGGTGTTTGTAAATGTTTTTTTTTTCAGTTTCTTTTTATTTTGTTATTGTTTATTATTTTTCTTCATTGTTATAAATGTGCTTGTGTACTGGATTACTAAGCACAAAATTGGTAATCGTGTGAGCTGCTTGAGACACAGGATTGGTCATATTGGGCTTTAACTGTCATTTATCATGAAATTTTCTATATTGGGAAATCTTGAACGAGAGAGATGTCAAATTGCGTAATGCATTGGCTCTGGGATTATCGAATAGTTTTTAACTTATAAATACAATGTGCAATCTAGTGACATATATACAGAGACAAGTTATTTTGTTAGCAAGTCATCTTTAATGTGAGACCTATTGTTGCTTTTGCCTTTTGGTATTTTTTTCTGAATAAAATAATATAAAAAAGAAAAGTGGACTCTGCTGGGGATCGACCCCAGTATCTCTGGTTCTATATACCTTTTAGCATTTAGCCATTGGTCTGTGAATAGTGTCTGACATAACATATATGCTTGCAGCTCTGTGAACTGTCCTTCGACAAAACACGGCATTTGAGGAACCCATACAATGAGAACCTACCTGTGAAGGTACATACTGAAGTTTTGTGTCTGATTTGATAATGATATCTAACTAAAATATTTTTCTGAATTGGGTTTTAATGCTTTTTACTGCTCTGCTCATTTGAGACTAAAATAGTTGAAAAGACCCTATGTAGCAATCTTTTGGGAATTTAAAACTCATTCTTTTTCGCCTTCTGTGTGTATATGTTGCACAATTGGATGATTGGAAACATGTCAGAGTGATAACATTGATAATCTTTATATTGTTTTTTGTTCGCCATCTGCATTTCTGTCTTTCAAAATAATGAGAGGCTGACATTAACTTTAGTTGAGGAACTCTTTTGTTTGAAAGCTAATAGAAGTTACATTTTTTTAGATCCCTTTTAAATTTTCGTCACACTTTTCTTTTTCCTTTTATTCTTTATTTTCTTTTCATTTTGTCCTTTTCACAATCCTGCTCCTTTGATTCGTGAAATTGTTCCATACTCCGTGGAGCTTACAGATATACCAACAAAAATCGAACATTTGTTCTTCTCACTGCAGATAAGTCGAGACTGTCAAGAACTGGAACCTTCTGTCGGCGAGCAGTTGGCATCATTGCTCTACCTCGAGCCAGATAGTGATCTTATGGTATTCCCTTTTCCCAAAAACCCCATCATTCTTACACATCACATCAATTTTAATTTACTATTTTGTCCACTCATATAATTTCCAAAAACCCCATCATTCTTACACATCACATCAATTTTAATTTACTATTTTGTCCACTCACATAATTTTAACTAACCATCCCTTCACATAGTTTCTTTCCTACTTTTACATTAAATCAACTTTAATTATTTTATTTTAAATATTATTTTAATATAAACTCAAAATCTCACTAACAACTAACCATACCAACTTTTTCAAAATTAACCCTAGTTAAAANTTTTTATCTCCTAGGCTGTCTCGATCTCAGCCGAACTGAAACGAGAGGAGGAGAAAGCAAAGGGAGTAAACCTCGACAACAGACCAGAAAACATCGTGCCCTTCGACGACAACGAAGAAGACGAAGACGAAGACGAAGAAGAGGAAGAAGAAGACGACGAAGAAGAAGAAGAAAACGGAGAAAACGGGAACTTTTACGGCCGTGGAAGGGGCGGCGGCCCGGGAGGAATGATGTGGGCCCCACACGGGCCTCACGTGCCCTTCCGTGGGCCCCGCCCTTTTCCCGCAGCAATCCCGGGCTTCCCCCCCATGCCTCCGCCGCCCGATCCTTTCGGCATGGGCCCACGAGGGTTTGGCCCGTACGGCGGCCCAAGATTCGCCGGCGACTTTGGTGGGCCCGGGATTGGGCCCGGAATGATGTTTCCGGGCCGTCCAGCTGGTGGGTTCGGGATGATGGGCCCGCCAGGCCCAATACCGGGCCGGGCTCCTTTTATGAGGGGTGGAAGGCCACCGGTGGGAATGCCACCTCCTTTTTATCCTCCTCAGCCTCAACAACTGCCTCACCAAAACTTGAATCGGGTAAATAGGAGAGAACAAACGGGACCTTATGGTAATAATGAGAGGCATGGCGGTTTTGAACAGAGCAAAGGGCAAGAGAGTGTTGATGGGAGGAATCAAGAGAGAGAGAGCGCCGGTTTTCAACAGGAGGATCGTTTATATAGTGTTGGGAAGAGCTATAGGAATGAAGAGAGTGAGAGTGAAGACGAGGCCCCGAGAAGGTCGAGGCACGGCGAAGGGAAGAAGAAGAAGGCGTCTGGAGAGATTGCTTAAGTCGAGTTTCGTGTTTTTTTACGTTTATCGGGTGAAAATCCCCGAATGAGAATCTTTGGGACAAAGAATGTTTTTTGGTTTGGTGAAGTAGAGGATTTCAAGTGAATTTGATTGATCCCTCAGGGCTAACTTGAGAAATTGCTGGATGTTATGAGCTATATATGATAAAATGGAGTATAATATGTATTAATATTCACATATAATGTTAGATTTTGTTTTCTTTTCTATCTTCGTTTTCTTCTTTAAATTTTGTGGAATTGATTTAGATATTGTGGATATTGTGATTCCTACATCTGTGTTTGGTTGGTGCTTTAATCATATGGTTCATTGTGTGTGGTGGTAAAAGCTCTTGTTTTTAGCAATGCAAATGCTAAAAGGACAAATTGCCATTACAATTTAAAGTTTTCTAAAAAAATCCATATATCGTATGGCTCACTAACCATGTAATGCATACGTAATTATTTTTGGTTTTTATTGTATTTATGGAATTATAAATAAAAAATGATATAAGTATGTTTGGTATCCAATTGCGCCTATATTTGAAAACCTGTCCACCGTCACCGGCTCCGGCACTTCTCCGTTCAAAATCTATTCACCGGCGCCGGAGATCTTGCGCGCGCCTAAAATCTACTTCGCACGCACAAAATTACATACAGATTAACGTCCATGGGCAATGACACCACCACTTGGGTGGGAAAAAAAGTCACTGAGAAGAGTCGGAGGGATGTCCGATGCGCTCTCGATCGCCGCCGATCTCGGAATTTCCGTTCATCATCCGCCATCTCAGGTCTCCGGTTTCTCACGGGCTTACTGAAGTGTTAGCGAGCCCACTCGATCTCGTGCTCCTGCAGTGTGCTTGTACCGAGCCCTAATATTTCTTTTTGTTTTTTTGTTTTTTGGGTTTAATTAGGAAGAAACCCAGAGTTTATCGGCGGGTAACGGTGAGAAGGGTGACGACCTCATAAGGATCTTGAGAGAATTGACGGCTGTGAAAAGGAAGACTGCGGATCTGCAAGTGGAGCTTCAAGGCAGAAAGGTGAAGTGTGAATTTCATCTCGCAAATTCACTTCAATTTTTAGCTTTTTCGTGTGCGCATTTGACGCACGTGAGTGAGATGGAGAAGAAGATCTGGACATTATTTCGAATCATGACAATACTGAAAGATGTTATCCAGAACAAGGTAGTGAATTGAAATGCTGCACTTTTGCTTTGTAGCTTGAGTTTATGCTTCAATATTGATGTAGAGCGTAGTACGATTGGGAATAAAATGAGATACTCTCTCAAGAACAAACGAACAGAAATTTTTATTCTTCAATAATCTGCCCTCTTTCACGTTCCATACAGCATAAATAAGAAAAAGGAAATAACATAAGAAACCTACTCTTGCCAAACACCGCAAGTTATTTAATATCCTATATAATTACTAAAATAACTAAAGGAAATAAACTAAATAGTACTAATAATAATATAAAATAAATAGACTTAAACCCGGAGTAGGTCATAGTTATTCAGAAACGCAATGGCGGTCTCCTCTTCATCATCCTCCCCCGGTTGAGGAGGATTCGGTCGCGAATCCGAGCCGGTCTCGTCTTCGTCAGATTTATCCCCTAGAAAAGGCACTAAATGCTTGATATTGAACACATTCGACGTACGAATATGGGAAGGAAGACGAAGGCGATAAGCATTCGGGTTGATCATCTCAATTACCTCGACCGGTCCAATCTTGCGCGCCGACAACTTGTTATACTCGTGGGTCGTGAACCTGTCCTTCGTCAACACGTCCCAAACATAATCACCCACCGAAAACTCGACGTGTCGGCGACGCACATCCGCCTGGCGCTTGTACGACGCGGTAGTGGCCTCCAGCCGGGCTCGCGCCGCCGCATGAGTCGCCTTCAGATCGGTGATAAGCTCGGCGGCCCTCCGATCATCAGTCTCCGAGGACGGCAGTGACAATAAGTCCGATGGCCCTCGGGGTCGAACAACATAGACGGTCTCGAATGGAGAAAGTTCCGTGGCCCGACTGACAGCTGAATTTTGAGCAAATTCAGCCTGACTCAAGTGCTGGTCCCAACTGCGAAGATTATCGCCCACTAAGCAACGAAGTAGGTTGCCCAATGAACGATTCACCACCTCCGTCTGGTCGTTCGTCTGTGGATGGTAGGCACTGCTGAAATCCAAACGAGTATTCGCCACGCGCCATAAGCTACGCCAAAAGTGGCTGAGAAAGCGAGTGTCGCGATCCGAGACGATCGAAGAAGGAAGGCCATGGAGACGGTACACCTCACGAAAGAACAACTGTGCTACATGAACCGCATCATTGGTGCGTTTGCATGGAATAAAGTGCACCATCTTCAAAAATCTGTCGACGACCACAAAGATGGAGTCAAAACCCCTCTGAGTGCGTGGCAACCCCAACACGAAATCCATGCTCATCGCACACCACGGCTGCGAGGGGATAGGAAGGGGCCTATATAACCCGGCGTTCGACGCGACCCCCTTCGAGACGTGACAAACACGGCAACGCTCCACGAACCGCCCCACATCCCGTTTAAGTGAAGGCCAGAAGTAGGACCGCCCGACGAGATGAACCGAACGATCACGCCCAACGTGCCCGGCGCCATGTAAATCCGCGATGAGTTTGACCCGAAGGCTATAATCCGGAATGCAAAGACGAACTCCACGAAACAAAAAGCCGTCAGTCAATGAATAGTCGTCTACAGGCCCGGCCGCTAGACGGCGTATAATCGGCCCAAAGAACGCATCATCCGCATACATCTCCCGTAGGACATCGAACCCAATAACATAAACTCGCATATCCGTCAATAACAGTGCTCGCCGGCTCAGCGCGTCTACCACACGGTTCGAAGCGCCCGATCGATGACGAAGCACGAAAGTAAACTGCTGTAAAAAGGCCGTCCACGAGGCATGACAAGCCGAAATATTATCCTGCGAAGCGAGATGACGCAAGGCCTCATGATCAGTATACATAATGAACTCACGATGAAAGAGGTAATGTCGCCAATGTCGGACCGCACGAACGACTGCATAAAATTCTACGTCATAAGTATTGTATCGAGTTCTCGGGCCCGACAGTTTCTCGCTAAAGAAGGAGACCGGCCGCCCGTCCTGACCAAGAACAACATCAATCCCAACCTTCGAGGCGTCGCACGAAAGCTCAAACGGCCTTGAGAAATCCGGTAAAACGAGCACGGGAGCAGAGGTCAACTTATCCTTGATCGTAGCAAAAGCCGTCTCAGCCTCCTGGGTCCATGCAAAAGACGAGCCATGGAGGCAATCGGTGATAGGAGTCGTAACAGTGCTGAAGTGAGCAATAAAACGACGATAGAATGAGGCAAGCCCGTGAAAACTACGGGCCTCAGTGAAGGTAGTAGGAGTAGGCCAGTCCCGAATGGCAGCCACCTTGCCATCATCCACTCGAATACCATCCGCCGAAATCACGAATCCCAAAAATAAAACAGAAGGCACCATAAAGCAACACTTACGAGGAGCAGCAAAAAATGCCTCAGCTCGCAGAACGAGTAAGACTGACCGAACATGCTGTAGATGCTCCTCCACTGACCGGCTGTAGATAAGTATGTCATCGAAATAAACGACGACACACATGCCAATAAACTCCCGAAGTGCCTAGTTCATCACCCTCATGAATGTACTATGCGCGTTTGACAAACCGAATGGCATCACCAACCATTCGAACAACCCCTCAGGGATCTTAAAGGCCGTCTTTCACTCATCACCAGGCCGAATCCGAATTTGATGATAACCGCTACGCAGATCTTGTTAGAGTAGGGTACCCGGCGTTCCAATCTAATTGGACGTATTCTACTTGTAAATACAGTCTATTGGAATTATATTATGAATAAGGTATTTCTTTATCTTAAGAGAAAGCATTTATCTTATAATTGCACTTAAGATAAAATCCCTAGATCACTTATGGTTATAAGGTATGGTTGCGCATAGAGATGGTGATCATGGAACATACCTTGAAAGCCGTGATCTTAAATACAGTTCCAAGTCGATGGATGTTTCGAGATGGGATATCGAATAATCCATAAAAGACTTGCACATAGTTTGTATGCTTGTTGGACAAGAATGTTGCATTCCATCAACATTAGCGTAAGACGTAAGTACATTTATGTGGGTGCTTGTTAGAGAACAAGTTCACTGAACATGACCGTATGAAAATTCTTAATGAAGAATTTATTCAGTCGAATAAGAATTTTCATGTTACAATAGTACATGACTAATCCTAAGACTTGAGGCACAATGGTAACTTTGTGCATATTACATTCTACTTTGATTTATCCTTTTGGTAGCTAGCACTATCGTTTAAAGGGATAAGTTGGGTATTATGTTAATATGTATGGAAGTTTGTTAGTGGCCAATAAAGGATTCGACACTTATGAAGATAAGTGAATTTCCTATGTGTTTCATAGTTATTAATCCAAAGTCCTTGGCCAAGGCAGAGATGAATAGTGATTCATAACCGGGTTAATAAACATGAAATAGAATCATAGTTATTAAGTCAATTTGGGTTTCGACAAAATCATACCCAAGACTTAATCGGGAAATTAGATGTCGAAAGGATTTTACATGTATGGAGTTGTAATCGGAATAGGTTTACTCGCTATTCACTTAATACTAGATTCATGCTACTTGCTAGGTGTTACCATGATATGTGGGTTCATAAATTAAAGGGTTAATTCATGAATAAGAGTTAATAAGATTTAACTCAAATTACAAAGTGTTGTAAACCCACTACTAGTATTAAGGTGAACCTAAAAGGTCACACTAATTATGAACAAAGGTAAAGATTGTATTTCTAATGGTTAGAATTAATTGATAAATATCTAATTTGATTAGATATCAATTAAAGGAATATATTAATCAATAAGATTGATTAATTACATTTTGGATATTACTTTAGTAATTAAGGTAATTACTAAATTAATAAAGTTGAATTTTAAAATAGGATTTTAAATTTCAAAAATCCAAAATAATAATAATATGATTATTATAATATTGGGAAAATGATATAATAATAAAGTCTTGAGAAAGATTCTCAAGATTTATTATCCAATTATTATTTATATCTTTAAATATGATTTAAGGATTAAAATAATAAATATGATTATAATAAAATGGTTGTTGATGGTTGTTTGAACTACTTAACATATCTTATTATTTTCAAAGTCAAAAGTTAGTAAATACTATTTAAATAAAATTTGATTTTATTTAATATTACTAAATGTTGATTATTTTATGCTAAAATGTTTAGTATAAATATATGCAAAATGGTTTTGCATTTAAGTGAAGTTTTTGATCCTAAATTTCTAAGTGTTAGAAAGAGAAGAAAGTGTTCTTCATAAAACTTCAAGAAAGAGTTCTTAAAATTCCCAAATAAAATTCATAAATATTCCTATACAAGAAAACCGAGTCTTTTCTACTAGCGAAGGAAAGTCGTCGGAACCGGGCTTCATAGGGTGGATACGTTTAGAGGGAAGACACTTGGATTCCTCTAGCGAGTAACCTCAAGTCGTTGAAGTTACAACCGGGAACCGATTCCCTCATCCATCATCAATAGTGAAGGAGTTCAAGACATTCGGTAAATATTTTTACTAGTATTTACTTTATAGTAACAAATCAAAATTTGTATATGATGCATGTTTTAAAGATGACGATCAGTTAATTCGCAATTAGTATGTATGGGTGTTGTATTTATACGATAAATACTTACTTTAAAAATTTTAAATTCCGCTGCGTACAGCCCGTACGGTACTAGCGAACCCAACAGATCTAGCTTGGTAAAAACCGATGCCCCATAAAGCTGATCGAGTAAATCATCCAATCGCGGTATCGGGAAACGGTAGCGGATGGTGATCTTGTTGATTGCCCGGCTGTCGACACACATGCGCCACGTGCTGTCCTTCTTCGGGATGAGAAGGGCCGGCACTACACAAGGACTCCTGCTCTTACGAACCACACCCCGTTGGAGAAGGTCCTCGACTTGCCTTCTCAATTTCTCGTGCTCAGCAGGGCTCATGCGATAATGAGGCCTATTTGGAAGAGATGCACCGGGCACTAAGTCAATGTGGTGCTGAATGTCTCGAAGCGATGGTAAGCCTGAAGGAATCTCGTCTGGAAATACATCCGCGAACTCCGCCAACAATGGCTCCATAACCGCCGGTGGTGCTCGTTCTTCCATCGAGTCGCGCCCCACAACCAAAATGACAACCGAAGAAACACGCAGCTCGGCTAAGAACGCCGACCGCGACACCGAGAGAACGGAGGACGGGTTGTGCGGTGTCGTGATGGGCCGAGGAGGAGAAGGTTGCAAAGTGATCCGAACCCCATCAAACAGAAACGAATAAGTGTTGAGACGACAGTCATGAGTGGCTGCCCGGTCAAATTGCCACGGGCGACCCAACAGTAAATGGCAAGCATCCATCGGAACTACGTCACACCAAATCTGATCACGATACCTCGGGCCCACAGAAAAAGCCACTAACACACGGCGGTCAACAGTAAGTGCATTTCCACGTTGAATCCATGCAAGTGTATAAGGCTGGGGATGAGGAACAGTGGAAAGATGAAGTTTGTCAACGGCCTCCTGAGAGATAACGTTTTCACAGGACCCGAAGTCAATAATAAAGCAACAAACCTTGTCCCCCACCGTACAAGTGGACTCAAACAGATGATGTCATTCGACCGGCGAGTCTCCCGAACCCCGCGGCGCCAAACAAACTCGTCGTAGGACTAAGGCCATGCCCACATCTCCGGGAACTAGTTCCTCCACCTCGCCCTGCTCAACGTCGTAAACCGGCGGGCCATCATAGTCTCCACTGAAAATATCACCCGTGTCCTCCGAAAACAAGTCCCGAGTACTTAGACCCTTCAGACAAACCGATTGGCGATGGCCAACCTCACCGCACCCAAAGCACCGCAGCCCCGCCACGGCCCGCGACGCATTCGAAGATGGCGGCTGTCCACCCACACCGCCGACCCTCTGGCTGCCCCCAACAGAAGCTGTGGATCTCCCCGCCGTTGCTCCCTGGCCAAACCCGCCAACTGCCGCAACCCCTGGACGTGTGAACGGCGACCCCGTGCCCGACGCCGCTCCCGGTCGAGAAAACGATGGCCCGACTTGCCCCGCTTTCTGTGACAATTGAAGCTCAACGAGAAGGGCCCATTGGTGAGCATCTGAAATGGAATCCGGGCGAAACATATTCAACATATCACGAATCCCCGCACGTAATCCACCCACGTACCGTGCAACCAGTTGATTCGTTGTCTCACGCAAGTCGACATGAGTCAAAAGCCGATGAAACTCTGTCGTGTATTCATTCACCGAACGAGTCCCTTGGCGCAAATTTTGCCGCTGCTGATAAACAAGGCTATCGTAGTTGAAGGGTACAAACTCACGCTCTACAACTTCACGAAATTTAATCCAAGATAAAAGAGGCGGTTTCGCATGACGATGCCGCAAGCTGCTAAAGTTCATCCACCAGACTGCCGCTCGACCCCGAAAGCGTGTGGCGACTAAATCGACACGCCTTTCCTCCGGGACCTCCTTGAACTTGAGTGCTGCCTCCACCGAAGCCCACCAATCGATGAATTCCGAACCATCTATGCCGCCGTCAAACTCGGGAATCTCCACACGAAACCCCTGCTCCCAACGTGACTCATCGCCCCCTTCTATCGGACTCCTGCCGTCACGTCGGTTCATCCCCAATCGCTCAAACCCCTCACGATCACGGGCCCAAGCTCGCCTCTGATGATCGAATTCCCAGTTTTCATCATCCTCGAAATGCGGACCGCCATCCCCAAACCCTTGTCGAGGATGCCTCCAATCATTCTCGTCATCCTCGTACTCTCGGGCCCGCGGATAGCGAACCTCACGTCGCCTGAAATCACCTCCACCACCGCCGCGAGCAAAACGCCCGCGTCCGTCGTCTCTCTGCTGGAAGAACTCGTCCTCAGCCGCTCGCCGTCGCTGTCCTCCAGCGAACGGATTCACCTCGCTGGCCATGTCCTCCTCGTCTTCCGCGCCGGACGGAGTCCCTTGCGAGCGCCGGTGGGGCGCCACGCCCTCCACGACCTCCGCGAAGCCCACCGCGCCCGGTCCGGTCGCCGCCGTCGCGTCTCGCACGATTCTCTTCCATCATGGTGTTCATAGCCTGGCAAATCTCCTCAATCCCTGACGAGAGGTCCGTAAATCGTTCATCCACGCCTTGGAATTGCTCTTCCATTCGTTGGAAACGATCATCGGTGTTATCTCTCTTTGACGGCATCGTGGATCGTCGCTGGTCTCTGGATACCAACTGATGTAGAGCGTAGTACGATTGGGAATAAAATGAGATACTCTCTCAAGAACAAACGAACAGAAATTTTTATTCTTCAATAATCTGCCCTCTTTCCATAAATAAGAAAAAGGAAATAACATAAGAAATCTACTCCCGCCAAACACTGCAAGTTATTTAATATCCTACATAATTACTAAAATAACTAAAGGAAATAAACTAAATAGTACTAATAATAATACGAAATAAATAGACTTAAACTCGGAGTCGGTCATAGTTATTCAGAAACGCAATGGCGGTCTCGTCTTCATCAAATATGGAGTTCAATTTCTCATCCGAATACTTTGATGGCCCTTTCACAAGTTCATTTTTGCTTGCCCCCTATTGTAACTTCTGTATGAAGTACAGGAACTGTTGGTATGAAATATAAATAATGTCATAATGTAGGGGAGCGTACGAATGAGAAGGATAAAACGAATGAGATACTCTCTCGATAAAACCCAAAATCAAATCATATTCTTATTCATAATAACAAAGCACAAGAGTCCTTTAAATAAGACTTTTCAACTAAACCCTAGCTTATTCTCCAAGCTAACTAATAATAATAATAATAATAATAATAATAATAATAATTATTCTGCATCATGTCATTAGTCTGTATTCGTGTAATCGTGTTAAGAGTTTTGTGGTACATGAAATTTTGCGGCTTACAAAATGAAAATCGATGTGAGTGAGATATAGAACTCAATTGCCCGCCCCAATTATGGCCATTGGATAACACACTCTTTAATACGAATATGCTGATCAGTCTTCTTTATTGTATTTGAAAATGGAAAAATGTTTCTTCCTTTGTTTTCTATCTGATTATTCATGAACTTTCATTTTTTATTTTTTTTTTAACTTCTAGAATCGGATTATAGGTCGCCTCCAGCAACCTTACTCCCTGGACTGCATACCTGTGGAAGCTGAGTACCAGGTACTTTTTCAATAATTACTTCACAATAATGGTGTAAAAGTGCTTATACATTTAATTCCACTACCTCGTTCAAGCATTCATTCAATAACACATTTGTCGGATATTCATTTTGTCTCCTATGTGTTGAACTCACACAACAAAAGCTTATGAATTCGATTTCTTTGTGATCGTCTCTAAAGTTACCTGAGATCTTATGACCAGATTTCATTCTTGTTTTCATGTTTGTGATAAAGAAACAATTTTCAGAACTACTAATGAAGGCGGCAAGTGATTATGGCACCTTAACAGCCTCTGTTGCCGATTTTCAATGGAGTCAGAACTTTAAAGAACCATCTACTGTATGGGGGGTGAGTTCACCAATTAGCAGTCATTCGTGAGATTCATCTCAAATAATTTTCTAATGAATCCAGTGGAAATTATAGTAGTTTCTCTATGATAAAGTATGTGAAATGTCGGAGTATTAATCCAAACAGATTCATGAAACGATGCACACTGCCGTAAAAAATGTCTTGAATGTTTATTCGTAGTTATGACTTTACCAATGAACTTCAATTGACGTCTTATAGCTTATTTGGTTAGCTTGTAAGCTTCCTGTATTCAAATAAGTTTCGTTTGCTATGACGAGTTTTTTTAAGAAGCTCGAGCTTATCTCATAAGCTTCTTTGAATAGCTTTTCAAATAGACCCGTTGAAATTTTAATTTCAGCTTCAGCTAATTTTACCAAACACGTTTATCATATAGGCTAACTTTTCAACTATAAGTCATAAGCTATAAGCTCGAAAATCACAACCATAAGCTAGCTTATCAGATAGTTTTATCAAACATAGCCTAAGTTGGGTTGGATGTCGTGATGTTTAATGTCCTCCTTATTCCTTAAGCTCGGAGATTTCCTTTAAACTGATTAATTAAAGTCAGTTATTTCTCACCATACAATCCATTTCTTGTTGCCTTCAAATAGTTAGAATATTTTTAGAAGTGATGAGAAGTTTAATCATAATTATGTCTTCTTAATATAACTTAATCCTTCGACATTGTAATAGTTGTATTTCTTTTATTCCATTTTTCAGGAAATGCTCCGACCAATTCCTGTGGCTTTAGCATCTTGCACTCGGTTTTTCGAAGCTATGACAGACATGAGAGAATCGTTTGCCAAGTTACAAACTCTGAGAAGCCAAGGCAGAGAAAGGGCAAGAAGGTGAAGATACAAAACAGTGTAGTTTTATGGATTGGATTTGTGTTAAAAAAAATGATGGGTTGTAATTTATATTATAAATTTTGTAAATGTTGGACTTTTTTTTATTTTTATTTTTTGCATTTTCTTACCAGTATTATTTTCTTATATAAAGTAAGGTTTTGTACCCTTGATGATTGAGATGGTTTGAATGTTCATTTGTTTCCTTGTCATCCCATGCAATTTATTAATGCAGTAGTTTTCTAGCAAGAAATTGGTGTGAAGGATGAGAACCGATGATTTTGGGCCTACAAAGGGAAACTATCGTCTTTGGGCTACATACTCTTAGCCCAACAAACTTCAAGGATTAGCTTTTGCGAAACTTTGTAGGTTTTAAACTGCTATCATTGTTTTTGCACAATTCCTCGATCTCCAAAACACAATTTTATTATTTTCTCTTAACATTATTTATAGCTAATATTGATTATATCTATAGGGGTAATAATACATATAAATTAGGCTATTTTTTTATTTAATAACTATAATTTTTTCCGTCATTTTCTTAGCTAATTGTAGAAAGAAGTTGTTACATCTTTGCGATAATTAAGTTGGTAACTATTACTACATTTTAAAGGTTCTTGATGAAAAAATTTCTCCATGCATTTTGTCATAATCACATTAAATAAATATTGTAAGCTATGTAATTGATATATATTTAGATATCAATAATTCTATGAAAAGTGATTAACATATATGGTCAATATTGATGTGTAAGTTATATGTTTTTAACTCATATTTTTCGATTTTATCAATTACTTAATTTTATATGTATAATTTCTATCATCTTACACAATTGTGCAAATGCAAAGGCCAGAGTACTACAACTTTTTTACCTTCATACGATTAAGAATTCATTTTCCAAGTAGAACTTCAAATCACGAATTATATAGTTTACATACATCATACTAGTGCGTGGCCCGTGCGATGCACGGGAAAACAATATTTTGATTGTATTATAAATTAAATAAATAAATAACATTAATCATGATTTACCCATTATTTTTAAATTAAACCGGGTTGGACACAGTCTGACCGGATGGACCGAGAACCGATTTATAACCAGTATATTGCGCTTGAATAAAATATATGCTATCGAATCCGTCAACATTAGTATGTTAGACTGGTAGGATCGATACGATTTTCTAAACAAATTTGGTTACATTAAAAATTATTTTAAATAAAATTACATATTTAAATAAAATAGAGATTTATAAATTGTTTATCAATTAGTTTAAATATTTGAATTTCTAAATTGTTTAGATATTTAAGTAACACTTTTTATTTAAATTTATTACAAAAAGTACTATATATATATATCAATATATATATATTAAAGTATTATGTATTAAAATCTGAACAACCACAAATGATTTAATAAAATAACTTGATCGTTTCGATGACGTTCCGGTTCTGAAAACCTTATATTTACCGTACATTAATAAAAATGATAATAAAATAATTATTTTGTTCACATAAATAATAATAAAATGATATATAAATATTCATAAATTATTAATCATGTTGTCGTAAAAGTATTGTTAATATGATTATTTGAAGTTTGGACTACATAATAAAGTATTTTCAATATTAAAATTTATATTTAGGTTCAATAATCGATTTGGTCTGGTCAAACTGATACATAACTTAGTTACCTGGGACCAACCAAGTTATGTCAAGTTTTTTGACTATTTTAAATATCACCTAAAAGTAATTCAATCAACGTGGACAATACCCTAATTCAATCACCCGATTGATCCAAAAGTAATTTCATTATTTTCTTTAAATATAATATTTAATTTTATGAAATAAAAAAAAATTATGATTCATATGTCTACACCAAATGATAGTATATTAAGATTATAAATTATATATCTAAAGATGAATTATTTATTTTTATTTTATGCATATTAATAAAAAATAAACATAGTAATTTAAAAAAAATCACGATTAATTGAATGGGTATATATATATATATATATAACATGATTGAATTTTTGGATTAGAAGATATATATTTAAAATGATTTTATTATTAAAAGTCAAAAAGAAAAGATGTCATAAAGATTACAACTTTGAAAAGTTTGTAACCATTAATTTAGGAACCATCCGATTTTAAATGATTTATAATTTTTGAAACAGGATACGTCATCTAAAATCCATTAATTTAGGAATCATCCAATTTTTTGATAATGAATTAAAATTAAAATGTAAAATAAAAAAATTGCTAAAAATAGTATATAATAAATGTGGGTTGACTTTTTCTTATTACTATTTATGGTAAATGTTAATTCTTATTATATATATATATAGATTTCAAATCTATTATATAGAACATTAATATATCGAGTTCTCCTCAATAACATACATTTGCTTAAGATAATTAAATTTTTAAAAAACTGAATAGTACTTTTCAAAAAATAAAAAGAAAATTAATCTAATCTAATAAATTGAATGCCACAACATCCTTCCCCAAGAAACCGCAGAAAAAGGTTGTAATTAATTATGGAGATTGGAGCAGAAGCAATTAATTCGGGTCAAATGAGATTTTTACCCTATGATAACTAATAATTAGGCTACTAAAATCTACAGCCTCCCCACTGGCTCTATTTATTAATTTTGCAAAAGAAACTTTATGGTATAAGAACAAATGTATGCTTGGTAAAACTAAATAATAAATTGTTTATAAGTTAATTTATAATATATACAAATATTTAGTAAAATTAGTTGATAACTCAATTCGAAAAAAATCTCTAACATACTAATTTGAAATGTTAGGAAGATAAGGTCAGAGATAATCNCTAACTAAATAACCTTAACTGTTTGTAGTTTATAATGGTTAACCAAAACAATCTAATAAAATTATTATAAATAGTATGAGTACTCCTCTATCTATTAATTGCATCGAAAAACTCTTGAAGAATCCAAACCAAAATAAAAACAAAATAAAAATAAAGGTTTTATTGCATTAGTGAAGCCTGAAAAGATTATTCAAAGCGCACGCTTGTCTGAACCATATTTATAAAGCTGTAGCAGGCACAGAACCAGATGTTATTGGGGGTTTTTAAGAGGACAATCTTTTAATTTATTTTTTATTTTTTATTTATCGTCTTCACCTTCAATCGAGAATTGAATTGTGGTCCAATGTACATTTGCAAAAATATGGTTCAATTTTACGTGGCACATAAAATTATGTACTACGCAGTTACGTTAAGTGAAAATGATGTACATTGAAGCACTCATGTTTATAGAACACTCATGTTTAATATGCATGTCTTTCTTTTTCTTCTCCCTTTTTGTTTACTTATTTTCAAATTAAATCACTAACATTTGTAACAGATAAATATGGAAGTTATTTTCTATGGTTATATTTGGTATCTATAGTAATTTCGATATTACATGTAACTACACTGTTGTTACATGTTTTTTGTCTTTGATTTACACGCACATACATGCACACCCATGTGGGTATGGGTGAAATCAAGGGCAAAAAACATGAAATTGCAGTGCAGTTACATGTAGCATCGAACTCTCTGGTATCTAGATATTTGATTGATATGATTTTATCTCATGTAATCTCTATATATCTTCTGTAAACCTCATTCTACGGTGAATACAACAAAAACTCTTTCTTCTCTATCATGTTCTCTTTTGTGATTTTAGCATGGTATCAGAGCGGTGAATTTCGCCGCCGGCAGTCTGTCTAAAAATTCAATTCACCATAACTATAATTTTTTGTTTTCACCGTCACCATGTCTTCTAGCATCGTGACTGTTGTTAATATTTTTACCGGAGTAGAATCAAAAGATTCGAACACCGGGTCGTGTCTCTCGAGGAAGGATAGCCGGATTATTATGCACGTTTATTCAACCACACAAAAGAAAATAAAAACATTCTAATTCAGATGATTTGGTTTGATTATTAACTACGAAGAACTGCAAATAAAGCAAATAGAAATAGCAAGCAACGACGAAGAACAAGTAGGATATAAGAAGCTAGGGAGTCGGGGATATCCGTTTTGGTTCGAAAATGCAATTATCAAGCAAGAGATTGTTCGGTTAAGTGATTTGACTAATCGACACGTTCAAGCACTCATTCTCAATAACTTTTCCTAACAAGAGAACAAACTAGAACGACAAATTAACAATTCATTTAACTTCTAGGCAATATAGTTACGAACAAGCCTAGATCATACGAGCCTATTTCGACCGACTCCTCCCCTTTCGGTTCTAAGAGCCGATTAAAGTAGACTAGGAGGTGTTTAATCAACTAGACCGTTTAGAATAACCAACATCAAGCAAGAATATATCAAACTCAATTGCAAACAATTGGGGATTGAAGTGTCAGCCTTCAACAATTCTCAATATTGGAGCCCGACAATTGAAAAACCCTAGAAAAAGATCAACTCGTACAAATTGAATAATCACGCATATGATAATTGCAAACGAATTCAAAACATCAATCCCCTATCCGTAGCATAAAGATTTAGCTACCCATAATGGTATAATCAACACAAGCAATCACAACCCAAGACTTCATATTTAACGATTAAATCAAAAGGAAATCTTACGATTGATAAATTCCAACGTTGAATCTGATAAACAAGCTTGAATCCAAAAGCAATAGCAAAATCCAAGATCAAATCCTTGTTCTACGTTCAAAAATATGAAAAGAGAATGAAAAACGAGTGAAAGAACGAGGGTAGGGTTTTTGTTCGTCTCTCCAATCAGAGATATCCTCTGTCGAAGACCCGATCTCCATATATATAAGGGAGCAGTGCCGCGCCGTGAAGAGGGTCTCGCGGCGTGAAGGAGGATCTCGCCGCGCCGTGGTCAGGAGGTCGCGCCGCGAAGGAGACATTGTTGGGCGCGAGTGCCGCGCCGTGAAGGGTCCTGCTGCCGCAACGTGATGGTGTCTCGCGGCGTGGCGGTCTGGAAAAGCACGGCCTCTGTCCAGGCGTGAGGGCTCCGCGGTTGTGGCGCGGCGTGAAGACGGGAGAGTGTCACGGCGTGGAGACCTCACGGTGTGGTAGGTGAATGGCTGGGAGCTTCTGTCCGCCCGTGACGTTCATCGCGGCGCGGCGGCTGGCGCGGCAGCCTGGCCCTGGGGGTGCTCAGGCCTAGTTGTATCACTTTGCATTTTGTGTTCGTTCGAGATCGTTTGGAACCCGAATTCGACTCCGTTTTCTACTGTGTATTGCCAACGACAAGCTCTACTCAGCTAAGTTCTCCCGGTTCCATTATTGTGAAAAATAAATCTTCCCGAGCTTTCCATCCTGCACACCAAAGACGAGAAAACCGGAAAATACTCAAGAAACACATAGAAAACTAAAACGAAACAAGACGCGCAGTAAACTATAAAAAACAAATAGAAACTAACGAAACGACCTAAAACGGGAGAAAAAGAAATGAAAAATAAGAAGAAAAAATGTAACAAAAATGGGACAAACAGTGACTACTTCAAATCAACCCACTAGTTATAAAACTATCTCACCTTATGATATCACGTCGAGTGATAACCCCGAATGTGTGATCTCTACGGTTCTTATCACTGGGAAAAAGTATATGGAATGGTCTTCTTCGCTTCGGACGGCTCTCCGAACATGAAAAAATTTAGCTTCCTTGACGGTTCCATCCCCACACCGGCCCGATGACTCTCCAGTTCTCGAAGATTGGTTTGTCAATAACTCCATGTTGGTTTCATGGATAAAGAATACGGTTGATCCATCGCTTCGACCCTCCATTCCTCAAATCGAACTCGTAAAAGAATTGTGGGATCATCTTCGCCGTCGCTTTTCCGTTGTCAATGGCACTCGAATTCAGTAATTAAAAGGGGAATTGGCATCTACAATTCAAAAAGGTATGACAATCAATGCATAGTATGGCAAGTTGCGTACATTATTCGATGAATTGAACTCTTATCAGCCATCAGTCGCATGTACCTGTGGACATGCCCGAGAATTTGAGGTTCGTCGAGATGCTGAAGAGACACACCAATTCTTATTAGGCCTGGATAGAGAGGTGTATGGGTCGTCCCACTCTGGCCTTTTGGCCCAAGATCCATTGCCCTCTTTGGACAGGGTTTATTCCGTCATTTCACAAGAGGAACGGTTGTCCTCTCCATCTGCTCTGTCGGCGGATGCATGAGCTTCGCCATCACCACAACACGCCAATCGTCCTCTCGGTCTTCTCGTTCTTCTCGCCAGTGCAACATTTGTGGTCGATAAGGACATGACGCGATGGTTTGTTTTGGGGTTAAACCCTGCCCCCACTGCAACCGGACGGGTCACGATACTCGTCGCTGCTATGAAATCATCGGCTATCCAACCGGCACCTTTCAGACAGTTCCTTCTACCGGCGCATCTTTGACGATGTAAGGACACTCGAACATCACCACCAACTCTTCGTCTGGACATGGTCGAGGGTTAATCCTCCTATCAGATTTGGAACTTATGGGGATAATTCAGTCCCGACATCTACAGGTTTGAGTCCGAATCATTGGTAGGTGTTAGTTAATCTTGTGCGTCCTAATATTTCTGACCCTGCTGTTTCTAATCACTTGACTGGTAAGGATTATTCATGTGGTTGGATGTATGATTGTGGTGCTATGCATCACATGACTGGATTTTTTCAGTATCTTGTTGATACTTGTGATATCTCACCTCGACCAGTGCAGCTTCCTAATGGACAATTGAGTATTGCGACTAAAGGCGGCAAAGTTTGCCTTAGTCAAAATTTGGTCTTGATTAATGTCCTTTTTGTTCCTAGTCTTAAATGCAGTCTCATTTTGTTATATTACTGGATGATTGTTTAATACAGTATCGTACTACGAGGACGGTGATTGGTCAGGGTGAACAAAAGGGGGGTTTATATTTTTTTCGAGATCTTATGAAGCAGTGACGACTAGAGTATCTGTTAGCGGCTCCGTGTACTTGTGGCATCAACGGTTGGAACACCCACCACCACAGGTTATTGGGAAACTATGTAATTTAGCTCATAGTCAAGTTAGCAGTTTTAATAATAAAGCTTGTGATGTCTGTTATCGTGCCAAGCCTTTCCTTTGAGTGACAATACTAGTTTGAAACCTTTCGCTTTAATTCATTGTGATTAATGAGGTCCTTATCGAGTCCCCTCGTTTTCTGGAGAAAGATTTTTTTTTTACAATTGTTGATGATTTTTCTCCAGTTGTGTGGCTTTATTTGTTGGATGACAAAAGTTGTGTTTCTACTACGGGAAAACGGTATATTACATAAGACATCTTGTGTTGCCACACCCCAGCAGAATGGTCGAGTAGAACGCAAGCATCGGCACATTCTCAATGTGGCACGTGCTCATGCCCATTGAATTTTGAAGACACTGTATCTTAACTGCGAGATATTTAATCAACCGTACTCCCACTGAAGTATTACATGGGAAAAGTCCTTACGAGGTTCTTTTTGGTAAACCATCGCCTCTTAAACAACTTCGTGTTTTTGGCTGCTTGTGCTATGTTTATAATTTGGATCATTCGCGGGATCCATTTCTTGATTTGCAAAAATTAGAATGTTGTGACTTAATATGCCAAAATTGAAAAAATGTGCGTAAATTGCTATTAAAGTAAAAATGTCGTATCTTTTCTTTNAATAGAGGGGTACAAAAGAGGAGCATTCATGAAATTAGAGAATTTTGGTGGCAATTTCAGGGGCATGAAAATGCAATCACATTTAATCAGATGAAAAAGAAAAAAAAAAAATCAATAAATTTACATGTACCACAAGTCATGTTCATGTAACATGCATACTCAGCATGGTACAAAAACCAGTTCTCATTTAATTTCAACTGTTTCAAATGTTTTTTCCTTTAATTATAAGTTCAAACCTGTCAAAAATATTACTATGAATTGACAAAAATAGAGAGAGAGAGAGAGAGAGAGAGAGATTCTCTTTGAAGAGTCTTTTTCTTTGCTCTGCGAAAAAAAAAATGGCACAGTGAAAGAGAAACAGATGAATACAAGTAACAGTCCTATGGTTCAATTCAATGTGCTCAGCTCTGTAAAACTGTTTTTCTTCTGATTCAATGGCTTTGACCCTTCTTATGTCAGAGTCAAAGAGACCATTTAACTAAACCTATCCATATATAGGATAATCATAATTCATAACTCAATATATATATGTTATATCGGTTTATGATACAAATAAAATAGATTTCAAACTTCTAAAAGATACAAATTCCTCACCTTTTCTACCATTTTCCACAAATTTTGAACCCCTCAATTCACAATATAGGTTATATAGTTTTCTCAATTAGCTCGAAAAACTCACTATGTACGAGTCAAGTCGGTCAAAGCTCGACTCGGAAAGTCGCATGAATACAACAGGTCAATAATTGGTTCATTTGGTAAATCTTTATCAAATAGGAGTGTTTAAAATTTTCCATCAAAAAGAAAAAATATGATCTCAATATGCAAGAAAACACAAAAGTACTTGAACAAACATATGACATTCAAAATAGAGTGATTTAAGTTTACCTTAGCATATATGTCTAATTAGTTCAGTACAAACCCTAATATGAGTGTTCAAAACAACTTTAGGGTTTTGCCAAAATAAAGATTCACAAAATAACTTAATGCTAAATCGTTCGAATGCGAATAGTAAATAAATTCAGTTACACAAAAGACCAATTCATAAACATGAAAGCCAAGCAGTGATTCGAGTCATCATCGTTAAGAACCTTCCATGCAATAGCCTGTTCGTAAGATACGGGTCGACCCATGCTCGAAACACAAACTCCAGCTGGCAAATACGCAAAACCCTGTAAATGAAATGAAATTTTAAAATATTAAATGGTTTTTTGTCAAAAAAAGTGTCAGAAGAATTTAGAGATATTTTCGTGCAGTTTTGGATTTTGTTCATGTAATCAAGAATTAGATACTGAATTTTTATTTTTCGAAGAATTTAGAGATATTTTTGTGCAGTTTTGAATTTTGTTCATGTAATCAAGATTTAGATACTGAATTTTATTTTATTTTTTTCTAATAATTTTAAAAGCACAGTTTGAAAAAATCGAATTAGGATTTTTTTTACCTGTTGCATGATATTAGAGAACTCTGAGAGGAGAATCTTGCGACCGGATTCATCTAGAATCTTCTCGAGCATTATATCCTGAAGGGCCACTAGAGTTGTTTCCATCATGTCGAGACCCGATTGGTTCGCAAATGTAAAAACTGCAGACGACTGAACAAAAAAAAAAAAAGATGATACAGAGCAAAACTAAAATTCAAGGTAAAAGACAGTGAAAAATGATTGACTAATTACATTCATCTTAACCGAGCAGCACATAATAGCATCTGTGTGATTCCATAGTTTTTTCAAAACAGAATCTTCTCCCGATTGCGAATCGACTTGAAATAGCTTTCTCCGAGTATGCAACCTGAAAAAAAAAATATTAAAACAAGGAGAATAATCTAATAATTTTCAATCTCTAGTCTCGACTAATAAATCAGATTAAAAAAAAACGAGACTTTGCGTGTACCTATAGCTCCTACAAATCCATCGTGCAAGCATTAAAGCCTCGGGTGAATTTTCAGGTGGTTTCGGAACAATATCCGATCCAAGTCGAGAAGGGGCAATAGCCATTGCAACTCTTTGAACCGAGCCAACTATACTTCGTACGTATTGACGAGCCATAGCAGCTACATTTTCTTGATAATGGCTCTCGAAAACGAATTGGAAAGCAATTGTTAAAACGGACCTCGAATTTTGATTAACATTCGCATCAACTTCTTCACCTGCCGAACGAACCCCAAGAGTCGAAGCCAAATCCAAAGTCCGAGTCCCATTTGGCCCATCCTGCAAAAAATAAANAAAAACGAGCTGAGCACAAGCACCACTATTTGTCTCATCAACCCCACTGCATAACTGCAATTTGTTTTTTACGTAAAACAAATCGAAATCAAAACCAACAAAAAAAAAAAAGATCTTGAGCTAAAACAAGTAACCCAAAACAAAACTTAGATGCAAGAAAACAAAGGCAAAATTGCATTTCTAGTCCTGTTGGGTTAACACCATAGCATTATTTAGTCCAAAGATTCTAACATTTCACCTTTTGATCATGTGATTAAATATTTTGCTGCAATCCAGATTTATAGATTTTTTTTAGCAATATAAGTCTTATAATCTATAAATTTGTTGCAATTCAGTCTTGAAATTTTAAATTTTGCTGCAATTTCAATCCTCAAGGACTGAAATTGCAGCATAATATTAAATCATAGGACAAAAAGTCGAAAAAGAACCTTTGAACTAAAATTGCCTATGGCGTTAAACAATAGAACTAAAAATGCATTTTTGTCGAAAACAAACCTGTAATAAGTACATATCTCTAGACAAAGCTATGTCCTCAGGTGAGAATGCATGGCCCTCCAAACGAACAACCTCCAAGAGCTAAATAAAAGGTAGAGTACATTCTTTAAATCTTTTAAATCACAATAGATAAACAAAATAAAAAATGCAAAAAAAATAAAAAATATAAATTAAATAAAATGAAGAGAGTATTGATTGAAGAAACTAATTAACCTCCTCGTGTTCTACAGTTTGTGCAAGCGGTAAAATAACTTGGCTGCTCGGAAAACCACCGAGTTTTGTACAAGGAACTGCATAAGGACTCGACTTGAGAGAAGCAGCCGAGTAAATATCAACCCCATAATCAGCCCATTCCGAACGGTGCTCTCTCAAGAAACGGACAAGCAAAGCAGGAGGCACATTCTGTATTATATAAATATGTACGAATAACCGTTGTTAAAATCACTAACTCTCCAAAAATGCAATCTTTTAGAACAAACATAAAAGAAATAATAATAAATAAATAAATAAATAAATAAAAAGGTGAAACACAAGTTTGGAATCAAGAAATGGAAAAGCAGACAGTTCTATGAATTCCCAAAAACTCTGTGTATACAAGAGAAAAAAAAAAGAGATATATTCAAGAATATTCTTACTTAAATTCGAAGTTCTTAGTTACTTCAATCTTATTGATGGAATAATACTAATTAATTGGTTGGATTGTATCATTTAACCATTTATTTTTGTTGCTACGAGGACCTTTATCATGAATCCACTTTATTTCTGTTGATTCCGTTATTGCTCCAAGAGAATCAAATAGTTGTTGAAATCACAGATCGATTAATTTTATAAAATTGAAAAAAAAAATTACAAGACGCCTCTTTTCTTGTTTGCCCTCCACAAAATTCATCTCAGATAGCATCTGTATGTAACACTTCAAATGGGGTATTTGTACTTTCAAGGTATAATTATTGAGTTTTACAGAATTATATATATAATTTACCTGAAGAAGCATGGAAGCTCGTGCACAAAGAACGCCTCCAAAAGTCGGGAGCATAGAAAGTGAGTTAAACTGAGAACCGCAAAACTTGCTCGGTGATGAATTAATGGCTATGGTGACATCATCCAAACCATCACTATCCATTACAGACCAACCATCATCAACAGTCCCATTAACAGCATCATTAAAGCCCCTAAAAATCCATTTGCCCAATCACACAACAAATAAAAAAATAATAATAATAATAAATACTAGGACAGTTCAATGATAGAGCAAAACAAAATCATCTTGAGTGTATATTTGATTTAATTTTGATCACATTCGAAGCTTTTTCTTACCGGCACAATCGTTGACTTAATGCCCTGAGCACGCCAGGCTGGCGGCCATTACTACTACATTGGATCTCTCCACTGATTTCTTGAGCAATCTGCCTGATATGACGAAAGGCCTGAATTGAATGAAAGTTATATTATTAGTTAAGTTTGGTTTGCTTATTAAGAGAATCAAGATTAATTAATGCACACGAAAAATCAAGATAAGAAAGAGGTTAGTTACGGCAATAGTCATCTTTTGCGCGAGGATTTTCGACGATTCGAACAGTGGCCTTAACACTTCAGGAACACTCAATGCCTGATATTGAGTCAATAGTAGAGTGAGTTACACACGCACACACACAAAAAAAAAAGAGTGAACTTTAATCCCAATTAAGGAAAAATTAGTTTTTAAGTACATACATCCAAGTCAATGTGGTCAACAATGTGGATAATCGAGCCACCACCTTCACAAGGACGTACTAAACAACCACTCGGTAGCATTTTAGCTCTTACGAAGCAGTTAGAGTTGGGTCCGTTTGGACCACCAGTCGATGAAGTTAATGATCTTTCACAAATCTGCATAAAAATTCCAATAAATCGTCAAAAGATCTTTAACAAATTTGAATGGAAGTTTTTTTGGGATAGTTTTTACCACAAGACTGCCATCTTCCAAAGTGGTAGTGTATCTCAGAGTCCAAAAATCACGACCCAATGCTAAAGTTGTGAGCGCATAAGTCTAAGGAAGAAGAAAATGCATGTTCAGAAGCAGATCACAAGTAAACTTCTCACAAAGCAAAATTACTTAAAAATAATTAAAATTACAAGGCAATGAATAAAAACCTGCATATATATAAGCTCGATTGTACCCCCATTTCCTGTGGGGATAATGCTTGCAACATCAAGGCACCGGCAATCACGATACCAAGACATTCGATCTTTGTATATTTCAGCAACCTGCCCATATTAAAAAAAAAAAAAAAAAAATNTGAAATCTAGTTTTTGGACATTTTTTTTTTAGCTTTAAAAACATACAAGAAATCATCTAATTTCATCATCACCTTTGTGGGCTCGAGACTCACGAGGCCGCAAGCTCGTGCGGCTATTCCACTACAGTTGCGGGCAACAGCAATGATGCCAATAGATTCCGGACCAGGCTAATTAAGTACAAAAATAGGAAAAGACATTAAATTTAAAACTAAAATTTAAAACATCAGAGAACACATGAAAAGTAAATAAATAACCGGATGAAAACCAAAAAGAAAAAGGAAAATGGAAAAAAGAATGAACGAACCTTCATCCCAATCATCTGCACCCAATCAACAGCAGTTCCAGTAGCCTTACCAAGGAACTGTGTCAGGGTCTCCTCAGCAACACTAAGGAGACTAAAAAAAACAGACAAATGTGTGAGCTAATTATCAACATTTTTACAGGGTAAAGTGTTATTCTGAATAGACAATAATGAAATGTGGCAAAGATAATAAAATTTTACCCAGCTGGGCTATTAGCATCTGTCTGAGGATGCTGATGTGTTGGGTTTTGCTGTTTTTGCCTACCGCTCTTAACGGCCGGCTCACAGCTTGTATCAGTAGTAGTAGTTTTGCTCACCTGAAAGTCACAGTAATATAAAATGCCAAAAGAGGG